TCCATGGTCGCCGCTCACCCGACACCGAGGCCAGTGCCCATGGCTCAGGGGACCGCGCCTGTGGAAAGGGAAACAACCGGTACGACGATGAGAAGCTTGCTCCGATCCTGAGGCGTGGGCGTTGTATGTTTGTTGCACACAGGGCGTTTTCGCCAGATTTTGGGCCCTCGGATCACCACAGACCGATCCGGTTCATGCAGCAGAAGGATGGGGTCCGGGGCTCCAGTCTTGATCTTTTGCGATGATGCATTTTTTGTTAACCGTATTGTGCTGTTGGGTCTCCGTTTTGAAGCGCCCCGCGTCTTCCCTCCCGTTGCTCTCCCCCCTCCTCCCGCATGTTTCTGTTTCGGCAAACGCTTCGTGGTCCCATAGGGAGCTCCACCTAAGGCTCCAGTGGCTGCGTTCGCATGCATCCGCGCTGCACATTTCGGCACATCCCTCAGGCATTTCGTGACCCCACATAAGGATTCACTGGAGGCCCCTGTGGCTACGTTCGCATGCGCCCGCGCCGCACATGTCGGCACACCCCTTGCACGGTTCGTGGCCCCACAGGGAGCTCTACCGAAGGCCCGTGCGATTGCGGTCGCATGCGTCCGCGCCTCACAAGTCGGCACACCCCTTCTCGCGCTTCGTGGCCCCATGGGGAGCTCACCCGAAGGCCCAACTGGCTGCGTTCGCATGCGTTCGCGCCGCACGTGTCAGCACACCCCTCACGCGCTTCGTGACTTCATAGGGACCTCCGCCGATTGCCCCCGCGGCTGCGTTCGCATGCGTCCGCGCCGCACATACCGGCACAACCCTCACACGTTCCGTGGCCCCACAGGAAGCTCCACTGGAGACCCCTGCCGCTGCGTTGCGTTCGCATGCGCCCGCGCCGCACATTTCGGCACACCTCTCACACGTTTCGTGGCCCCATAAACGAGCTCCACTGGAGGCCCCAGTGGCGACGTTCGCACGCGCCCGCAGCGCGCATTTCTGTGCTTCCCTCACACGCTTCGTGGCTCCACATGGACCTCCGCCGATTGCCCCAGTGGCTGCGTTCGCATGCGTCCGTGCCGCACATGCTGGCACAACCCTCACACGTTCCGTGGTCCCACAGGGAGCTCCACTGGAGACATCTTGCGGCTGCGTTCGCATGCGCCCGCGCCACACATTTCGGCACACCTCTCACACGTTTCGTGGCCCCATAGACGAGCTCCTTTGGAGGCCCCAGTGGTGACGTTCGCACGCGCCCGCGGCGCGCTTTTCGGCGCTTGTGTCGCACGGTTCGTGGCCCCACAGGGACCTCCGCCGATTGCCCCAGTGGCTGCGTTCGCATGCGTCCGCGCCGCACATGCTGGCACAACCCTCACACGTTCCGTGGCCCCACAGAGAGCTCCGCTGGAGGCCCCTGCGGCTGCGTTCGCATGCGCCCGCGCCGCACATTTCGGCACACCTCTCACACGTTTCGTGACCCCATAAACGAACTCCACTGGAGGCCACAGTGGCGACGTTCGCACGCGCCCGCAGCGCGCATTTCGGTGCTTCCCCTCACTCGTTTCGTGGCCCCACAGGGAGCTGCACCAGTGTTCCCTGCGGCTGCGTTCGCATGCGTCCGCGCATCACGTTTCGGCACAACCCTCACTGGTCGCGTGGCCCCACAGCAGACTCCACCTAAGGCCCCAGTGGCTACGGTCGGCTGCGTCCGCGCCGCACATGTCGCTTCCCCCTTCACACTTTTTGGGGTCCCACAGGGAACTCCTCCGAACGCCCCTGTGGCGATATTCTCACGCGTCCGCGCAGCACATGTTCGCTCACCCCTCACACGTTTCGTGGCCCCATAGGGAGCTCCACCGAAGGCTCCAGTGGCGACGTTCGCATGCGCCCGCGCCTCACATTTTGGCGCACGCACAACGGAAACAGGGAGAAGGAACAACGAGTTGGGAAGGAACCGAAGCCGAAACGGCTGCGCTCGCGGCTCGGGGCAAACAAAGCATCCCCCCTGGCGCGCCCATGTCCGCTGTTCTCCTCCACATCCACGCGGCAGTCCTTTTGCTAGCCTCCCTGCGTCGCCTCGCCTGCCTCGTGATGCTCGCAGCTGTAGATGTATGGTGAGATCCTTCGCCAGACTAAGTTTACATCGTCAGATCTCAGCGGACAGTGTGCGAGGAGTCCTTCGTTGGACACGGGCTTATTGCCGATACACAGACGATGGAGACGTGTCCGCCTGATGCCCACCTTCGCAGCCTTGGTAAACCATCGCAACTTCTTCCCGAGGCTCTCGATCACATGGTGGGCGTGATGACCGAGAGCTTCCACAGACTCCAAGCCGCGTGATGGGCTGCGTCACGCTAGCGTGGAAATGTCCGGACGCGTGGCCGAGCTTGCCAGTCCTGCCGCCCACTCGATCCCTGAAGAGTGACGCCAGGATGCTAACATGGGAGAGTCGCTCATCATCTGTTTGGACTACCTGGACGAGCTGCAGACGTTCACGAATATGTTTCTGCAAGAGTTCTGGCCACTGATGTCATAGCTGATTTGACATAATGCCGACGCAGACCTCGACTACTACGAGCTCCTCTTCGACGGCGGTGCCCTTCTGTACTCTGACGTTCTGGATGGCGACCCTGAGCAGTGTTTGGCCTGTCTGCTGTTGCCTCCCTCCTCCTCCTCCTCCTCCTCCTCCTCCTCCTCCTCCTCCTCCTCCTCCTCCCCCATTGGTCGTGGGAGTCAAGACGTTCTATGTATCTGTTTTGTGAGCCCTGAGGCTCTGGGACAGTAGATCTGTCATTACATTGTGCAGTATCGCCCACTACGCGTAGGGGGGGGGGAAAGCTAAAATCATGTATGGTTGTACTGCGTATGCGCGGGAGGAGCTCCCCCCGCGGCCGAGTTTCATCCTCCTCTTCCTCCTTCCCCCTCCGCCCTCCTCCTCATCCTCCCTCCTCTTCCCTCCTCCTTCTCCTCTCTCCGCCTACTCCTCCTTCCCCCCCGTCCACGCTCTGCCTCCTCCTTCTCCTTCCAACCACTCCTTCCTCTTCCGCTGCCCCGCCCAACGCCCCCGATTGGGCTACGCGTGCTGCTGGCACGAGGGTAAAGAGCCACCGCTGCCTTGGAGGGGTGTACCCTTCTGTCTCAGCCCGCGCGGGATCGTGCGCAGATCCTGGCGTGGCAGTTCTTTCGCACGGGGCGCTTGCGCCCGGTTCCGAGCTTCAGGGCCAGGGGCCATCACATTCCGATCTGGCTCGAAAGATTCTAGGCCTCCCAGACTGGGTCGGAGTAGATGGGTTCGGAGGATCGCGCCGATGTGGAGCCCGATCTTCTCCACGCCGACGTCGCCGACGCATCGCCGACGTCACCGATGCATCGATGATGCATCGCCGATGTATCGGCGATGCGGCGCGATCCTCCGACCCCATCTGCTTCGACCCCATTTAGGAGACCTCTAAAGATGCAGCCGACAGAAGGGGTCCGGGGTTCTGGTCGTGATCCTTTGAGATGCTGCTTCTCTTGCACCGCGTCGGATCTCAGGGCCTCCCCCCCTGAGCCAGTCCCCCTCGTTCGACCCCCACCCCCACCCACGCATCTTTGGCTACACGTAAAGGGTGACCCTTCGCTAGAGTTCGGGCTTGTGTGCGGCGTTCGGGAGTTCGCTTGGGGCCCAACCACAAGAGCGCAGGCCGCCGCGGTCGCATCGTGCGCAACGATCGGGAAGCCGCGCGCCGAAGACCCTTGGAGGGTCCTGAAAGCGGCGTCATGCGTCCAGGGCCCCTTTCCTCCAAGACTGCCTTTGTGCCAGGGCCAGATGGAGGGAGGGCAGACAATGGGAAGGAGGGTGAGGATGAGGACGAGGAGAAGGACGAGGACGAGGAGATTGAGGATTGAGGAGGAGGAGGAGGGAGACGAGGAGGAGGAGCTTCGATCAGATCGATCCGATTCGAAGGGGGTCATGGCCAGCACGCTCTGACCCGAGTCCCATAATGCAACGACCAGGCGCGGTGCGATGTCTGCATGGCGCTGCTGTGCATCCTGGCGAGGCCGATCCGATCCGATTTCGGCTCCGTGCCGATGCGGCCCGATCCGATGCACGCCCCGATCGGCTTCGACTTTTCATCCTGACTGACTGACTGGTCCTGACTTTGATCCGGCCCGATTCGATGCTAACTGATCCTGCTTTTTCGGTGGCGGCCACAAGGGGGGTGATGACAAGGGGGAGGGATATCATGCCGGGGGCCATGATATCTCCCCAGATTTCATGGCGCCTCTTCTTACGTCATTACGTCCCTGGCCCCCCCCCACCCTGCGCCGCGTACATGCCGCCGGCCATGATTTGCGCCCCACCCCCCTCTTGGACGCCCCCCTCTTGGCCGCCCCCGTTTTTGGCAGGGCGAGGACAGGCAGGTCGGGCGGACCCAGGACAGGGAGTTAAACCGCTCCAGAGCATCCTGGAACACTCTCAGAACACCCTGGTGCAGTTTGGAAAGCCGCGGGGCCCGGATCTCGGATGGCCCCGAGTTTTCCCTGTCCGAGGTTGTCGTGGTCCCGGCTTTGGCTGAAGCAGCAGCAAGGCCATCGTGGCCGGGAAGCACGTCCAGATCTGCGGCCTCGCGGGCCTGGCCCTTGGGCCGCGATTCCATGGACGCGCCGTCTTTTTGTTCCGGATGCCCCGAGCGGAAGGCATCCGTGCGACTGCGTATCCACGGGACCGCGCTTTGGAATCCAGACCATGAGGGCGCGGAATTTGGACACGGTCAGAAACTTTTGGAGAGCCCGTCGCGCCGAGGCGTGGTGGGCCAGCGCCGGCGGAGCGGAGCGGCAGGCTAGCAAGGAATGGCGTGTCGCCGGGGCTGCCGTGGCGACGCGCTGTACCTCAGAGTTCCCGACCGCATGTTCGCTGTTCGTGGGCCCCCCCCCCCGAGGCGATGCCGGCCAGACAACTGCCGCTGGCCGCCCGCCTCCCCGCTGTAGGGGCGCCGCACGCCGCGGACGCGGCGCTGGCGCGCGTGGCGCTGGCGCGCGCGGCGCCGGCGCGCAGCGGCCGCGATGCGCGCGGCCTCGCCCTCGCGTCCCTGGACTTCTGGCGGGCTGATTGCTTTTCCACCCCACCGGGCGCGACGAGAACGCCCAGCAGACTCGAAGCTCGGAGCTCGAGCCTCCAGCTGCCGGGCATGTCTGCGGGAGAGCCGCGACCGTTCAAGGTGAAATGCCCCGCGCTGCGTCAGAGCTCCCAACGCGCCAGTAGTCGCGGTCCGAGACCGCTCAGAGACGACGATAGGGGCGAATAGCCCAGGGGAGAGCAATACATGTATTCAGGTGCGCCGATGATCGATGTCTTCGAAAGGGCTCCCGGGCGAATGCGCGTAACGCCCGCCCCTGGGCTGTTCGCCCCTAGCGTCGCCGCCGAACCGTAGCAGGCCGCCGCCGCGTGAGCGGGCCCCGCCACCCTGTCTGCGGTGCCTGAGGCCGGCTGCGCGCCCCTCGCCTGTCGACCCGTGGCGGTTGCGCCTTCTGCTTTTCCACCCGCTCCGTGCGCCCCGCGCCTGGCGCGCCGCACCGGTCTCGACCCCCGCGCCACGGCTCGCCAGCGCCGCCGGAAGCAAATTGTTCCGTGGTTCCTCGCCGCCCCCTTCACAGGATCGATCACAACTGAATTTACACCAAGTGGTTGTTCGTCGATCCTGCTCGAAATGAGTGGAACGTCTTGCGTATATGCGATCGATCATATAATTGTTGTGTAGGCGATGCTCTATTCGATAGGTGCCTTTTTGGGGCCTCCTTGGGAGCCCTATTCGCCACGGACGGGCTCGATCTCGAGATCCTGGTAGGCACGCGCCCCAAGAGAGGCGGGGAGCAGCCCTGCACGCACACGGAGACTTTCATGGCCTGCCCGTGGTCCCTCGCCATCCCGGCCTCTCCGGCCGCCTCGTGCCTCGGCGCGTTCCCTCTTCCTCGTACCTCTCGGGAGCGGAAAAGAGGGGGGTGATGACTAGGGGGGGGTGGATTTCATGGCGCGGGCCATGATTTTTCCTCAGATTTCATGGCGCCTCTTCTTATTTCATTACGTCCCTGCCCCCCCCGCTGGGCCGCGCACATGCCGCCAGTCATGATTTGCACCCCCCCCTCTTGGACACCCCCCTCTTTGCCGCTCCCGAACCTCGTTGTGTTTCGGCGCGCCCCGCCCGTGCTCGACCGCCGTCTGACTCTCGTGCGGCCGCTGGCCAATAAGTTCGCCACAACTTCTCGTCCGCTTCCGTTTGGCGACGGACCATATCGATCCGATCGATCCGATGCGATGCCGGTTTCGGCCAGCCCGATCCGTCGATCCGATGCGGCCCGATGTTTGCATGGCGCTGTTGTGCATCCCGTCGCGGCCGATTCGATCCGTTTTGGGCGCAGTGCCGATGCGGCCCCATCCGAAGCACGTTCGGATCCAATTTTCCGTTTCGATGCTTATTGATTGTGTTTTTGGGCGGGTTGGATCCGCTCTCTTCCGTGTTTTGTGTTGTTCTCGATTCTTCAAGCATGTGCTATGCTGCGCTGGTCGCCACTGCGTCATCGCACATGGTCAGCTCTTGCCCATGCCGCAGCTCTCTCATTTTGCCCTTGGCATGATATGAATTTGCGGACGGCATCTGTATACCACCACCGTGCCTGTCAAGGGCATCCTGGGCCCCACGATGGTGTATAGACCCTCTTGGCTTCGGGCAGGAAGCTTACACACCATGCAAGGGCCCAGAATGGCCCTGGCCAGGTACGGCGGTGGTGCGTAGCGGTTATCTGCGAAATTTTCGAATGAGAAAACTCAGCAACAAGCGTTTTACCCTCATGCGCCATGCGTCTACATGCCACATGCATACGTCATGATGCTCCCTCCTTTCGGAGGAACTGTACGGAAAAGGGGGACCCGTATTTCCACACCCCACTCAGATGTCCTGTCCAATGACGTCGAGCCAACACTTCTCCCGAGTCACTTTCTTTTTTTCCAGCTCGCACAGCACATCAACACATCAGTGCGACTTTGGGGAGCGGTGGGATGGGAAACACGAAGGGTTCGAGCACCATGAGAGAGGTAATTTATAGTATTGTATGTAGAACACAAAATATTAGATCTCCTGTTTGACTGGGGAGCACATATATACAGATGCGTGCATATATAAATCCATACACCTACATATATATACACAGCTACCTATATACATACTTGCACATGCCTATATCCACACATGTACACAACTATATATATATATATATATAATTGAGAGGAGGAGAGAGAGAGAGAGAGAGAGAAAGAAAGAAAGAGAGAGACAGAGAGAGAGAGAGAGAACGAGAGAACGAACGAGACCGAGAGAGAGAGAGAGGAAATAGAGAGAGATATATAAACGTAGACCACACACGAAACTTAAAGGATCCGAGCCTCAGAAGAGGGGCAATCGATAGGAACAGACGTAAAGCACTAAGGATGCGATCCCGAACAATAGCACTTCCCGAACACATATCCCAATACAGACAAGTATCTCCTGGGTTCTCGTGGGGCCTTTCGCGGCCTGCTGGATGCGGGAGGGCCGAATGACGCTCCCCGAAGACACACATATCAATACAAGGAAGTATGCCTTGGGGCCACCAGGGAGCGGAGGGGCCGAACAGCGCTCCCCGAACACAGATCCCAGCACAGAAAAAGCTACCCGAACACATATCTTAGAGGCGACGATAGGGGCGAATAGCCCAGGGGAGAGCAATGCATGTATTCAGGTGCGGCGATGATCCATGTCTTCGAAAAGGCTCCCCGGCGAATGCGTGTAACCCCCGCCCCTGCGCTATTCGCCCCTATTCATCGTCGCCGTCAAATATCCCTGGAGCGTCCTGCGGCATCCGCAAGTAGCGACAAGGCTGCTCTGATGAATTCAGGATGGACCCAAATAGATACCTGGGTTTATAATGTTCCGGGAATACTTACTGGGGTTCATAATGTTCCCCCCAGCACATTGCAAACATCGTTTTTTAACGTTCAGGAAATCTTAGGAAAGGGTTCGCAATACTCCCTTGGAACATGATGAACTTCGGTTTATATTGTCTTCGGGGGCCCAGCTCCGGAACCCCAAGACAACGACTTCGGATTATTATGTTGGAGTGCTACTACTGATTATTTTCCCCAACCCCCCCGTCACCAGGGTGAGAATTATTATGTGCGAGTATTGACCCTGGTTTATTATTCCCGGGACATTCTACATTTGGGCCTATCAGTCGGGAGTGATGATAGTCGAGCAGGGGGGGGGCCGACTTGGTTTATTATTCCCTAGCGGGACATTGCAAATTGGGGTTTTGTATTCCGGAATGAGAATAATCGAGCCGAACGGGGGGGGGGGGGGGCGATTTGGTCTATTATGTGTTGTTTCCCCCCCGAGCCCAGGCGCCTCACAGGGAACACATCAGGCACGGTTTATTATTCTGGAATGGTGGACCTGGTTTTCATTCTGGACAGATAATAATGCAGCGGGGGGGGGTGACTGACAAGTCCGCCATGAGATAATGAGTTCCAGTTCATCATCGAATGATAACAGACTTAGGTTTATCCTTCTTGGGTGCTGAGCCACGGTCGACGAGGATTCCACGGGTGTCCTCGAAGAAATCCCTTGTGCTGCTGAATGGCGAGGAGGTCTCACCCTGGCGCATGCGGGCAGCAGAAGAGATATTATGAAGTACTCCATCGTGTGGTGCTGACTTGCGCAGAAGCCTCAGGCCAAAAGTCAGCTCTGGCATCCGAAAGTAGCAGCAGCCTGGTTCTGAAAGACCCGCTTCAGGCACAAGATATAGAAGCCTCAGGCAAAAAGGCAGTTCCCGCATCTGCAAGCAATTAGCGGCAAGACTCCTCTGAAGGACACCCCGTGGTGCAAAAATCGAGAGAAAGTCTCAGGCGAGAGCGCCTTTTTCTGAAGTTCGGGCCTTCTCTGGCCAGGGCCTCTCGCAATCAAGTGTTTGGACGTGTCGCACGGGAGCGTTGTTATTGTTGTTGTGGATGTTGTTGTTTGTGTCTTGGCGCTCTCGCTTCGGCGCCAGCGACATTTTCATTGACAATGAGGTTCACGTTCGAGTTGTTTGGGGGGCGCCAAAACTGCCCCCCAACAACAACAACAACAACAACAACATCAACATCAACAACAACAACAACAACAACAACAACAACAACAACAACTACTACTACTACTACTACTATTACTACTACTACTACTACTACTACTACTACTACTACTACTACTACTACTACTACTACTACTACAACGGCAACAACAACAACACCAACAACGACAACAACAACAACATCAGCGCTCCTGCTCGAGACGTCCTTTCTTTTTCGCTCAAGGCGGTACTCCTCGTCGCCGCCGAAAACCGCCGCCCCGACAAAACCAACGCTTCCGCCCGAGACTATCTCCCGTTTTACGCTGGATTGGCGCCCTACTCTCGTTTGAATTGGCGCCGCTCCCAGCAATAACAACGCTCCCGCTCGAGGCATCCTCCTTGTTTCCTCATGACGGTGCTGATCCTCGCCACCGACAGCCCCCGTCCCGACAAAACCCAAGTTCCCGCTTGAGACTTCCCCTTTCTTACTCAAGGCGGTGTTCCTCCTCGCCGCCGACAACCGCCGTCCCAACAAAACCAGCGTTCCCGCTCGAGACTTTCTTTCGTTTTACGCTGGACTGGCGCGCTACTCCTTCTCTCAGCGGCGCCGCCCCCAGCACCAACAAGGCCCCCGCTCGAGACGTCTCATTTTGTTTACTGAAGGCGGTGCTCCTCTTCACCGCCGAAAGCCGCCGTCCCGACAAGACCAACGCCCCCGCCCGAGACATCCTCCCGTTTTACGCTTCGCTGGTGCCTTACTCTCTTTGGAATTGGCACCGCTCAATAACAACGCTCCCGCTCGAGGCTCCCTCCCTTTATCCTCAGGACGGTGCTGTTCGTCGCCGCCGACAGCCCCAGTCCCGACAAAACCACGGTTCCCGCTCGAGACTCCCCCCTTTCTTATGCAAGGCGGTGTTCCTCCTCACCGCCGAAAGCTGCCGCCCCGACAAAGCCAGCGCTTCCGCGCGAGACGCCCTCCCGTTTTACGCTGGACTGGCGCCCTATTCTGTCTTAAATTGGCGCCGTTCCCAGTAATAACAACGCTCCCGCTCGAGGATTCCTCCTTGTTTCCTCAGGGCGGTGCTGTTCGTCGCCGCCGACAGCCCCCGTCACGACAAAT